CCACGCCCTGCTGCGAGCCACACGCTGAAAGAGACCCTAATCTAGAAACCTACCCACGTGCAGGAAAAAAGCCGTTGTCCCACTGGGCGATTTGCTTCATCCCCATGTCATAGTTTCTCAAAGGCCGAGTCTCCAAGTGGGAGGTGGGTCTGCGATCTTCGGAATCACGTAGGTGGTTATGGACCGCGGAGGAGCCTGGCAGGCGCTCCGACGTTGAGGCTGCAGCTTCTGGTCATGGCTTTTCAACTTCAGGGTCTCAGAACTGATAGTCCAACGGGGCCCGAAGCAACAGAACCATCGAATGCACAACACTGCAGGGGCTCAGAAGAAGCTTGCTTGGGGTCGACCCTATAGCGCTTACGCAACTCCCGCTTGCTTTTTTCGCCAACAGAAATTGATTGAGGTCCACGTTCCGCGAAAGGGAACTCCATGTTAAGTTGGCTGGCCACAGAGTCCTGAACGTGGCAGAGACAGTAACCCTGGAGCCTGCACCTCTGCAAAGGAGCTCCAACACTCCGCAGCAAGGACAGGCCCCAAATGCTCCCCAAAATCCAAACTTCACCCCTATTGCCGGCCTGGGTTTCGACAGATCTGCCGGCGACCTCGGCTGTTCGATGTACGCAGGTTTCGGAGCTGCCCTGCAAGCATTTAAGACCTACGGCCCTGGTCGGTTTCAGCTCGAGTGGTGGTATAGTGCTCTGGCCGCGAGAATGAACATGGGTTTCGCGGGCCAGGCCACCGACAAGGCCATCCCCAGATCTTTGCCGTCAGGTGATGTTGCTATGAGGAAGCTCAAACAGGCTGGTAACATCCCCAGGCGGAACTCTTGCTGCGACCCTAAAGACATTGCTATGTTGCTTCTATCTTCTTCGAACCGTAAAGCTGGCAGCAAGCTCGTCGATGCACATTTCGCAGAAACTGAAGGAATTTCTACTTCTGACAAGAGAAGAAGCATGCACCATATCGGCTGACCGACTTCGGCCCAGCAAAACCGCGAATTCTGTCCAACACAAAACGCTGACTATCATGCCACGGCCCGAAGTCCTGCAAGATCGGTGTAAAGGAAAACCCGTAAGGACTCCACACTTTCGAGGCAAAGTCAAGCAAGCACTGCCCTGACGATAGCTTAATTAATTATTACTATTATAACTATTCAACCTGTTTGTGGCGTTTAACTATTCCTTCTCACAGGCCCGATGGATGGATTCTGCGGGCTCTGAGCTGGTCACCTGCTACAGGAGAAGCGGCTGTGCAGGGGCATTGATTGTTGAGCTTGATTCTCGGTTGCTGCCTTGCCTTTCGATCTGCCCTGGTATGGGAACCTTCGATTCTCAACCGACCAGTGGCGGAACTTCAAGTTCTCTAGCACGTGTCTGTCCCTGGCGCCATGGCAGCCCGAGGAGGCGGCTTGAAGCCAAAAGCCGATCTCGTAGTCCTCCTGAAGGCTCTGTGATGCCAGGCTTCATCAAGAAGTTACGAAGCTAAGCAGCAAGAACACGAGTGGGCAAATGTATTCCTGTTGCCTATACTTCAACGGAGAATCCCGGGCCCAGGCGCTCGCCGGGATGTGGAGAACTCTGTGCTGCGATTCTTTGCTTAAGTTTTCTGGTGCATCGAGAGTAGGAAGCCTGCTTTTGTAGTGCTGCACGAAGCAGAGACGAGCACAAATCCGAGATGCACTTTCCTGAGGCCCTGAGCATAGGAGTCCCTGGTTGAACGTGAAACTTCGAAACTTTGCATTGCATCCTGGTTGAGGACCACCGCCACCACGGAGCCATCCGGATTGACAAATCCCGTGGCCTGCCGGTCGATCGCTGGAGTCAGCTTCGGCTGGAAGAACTACAGAACTACCCAGGCGTCCAGGTACGCCAGCATCTTGTAATTTCGTGGATGCGTGCTTCTGGCTGTGTTCCGGGAGCTAAAGAAAATGGTTGCTGTCGTGTGAAAGCTTTCGACTGCTCTGCAAAATGCCAGGCCAAATTTGACATCAAGTGCCAAACGGCTTCACTCCGCCATCCCGAGCAAATCAGGGCTACAAAAATCGCATGGGGAAGGCTGGCAAAATTCACATCACATAAATAAGCCTGCTCCAACGATCTGTATATACATCCAAACTTAAATTCCTGGTGCTGAACCATGAGCTGTAGCTCTTGGTCGCCTCTCACTCTGCACCTCAACGAAACATGCAGTGTGACAGATCCTGGTCCCTCTCATGTTGGCCCTGGGTTGAGGAGTGTAGAGCTCTGTGCCATCGTCGGCACCTCGAGCTTGTCTCGGCTGCTACTGGTGGAGATTCGCTGCGCCCCGGGCTTGATGTATCGCCTCACTTTTCTGGCAGGTCTAAGCTGGTAGAGTCGGGCAGAGGACAAGGCGTCGGGTGTAGTGGACTTCGAGGCTGACTGACGGCATGCCCGGACTGCGTCAATTTGGCAGACCAAAGCTGGCAGCTGGAACCTTCATCTCTGACATGCTTTGCTGCAATCCCAAAATTGTGCAGAATGCTTGGGGAGCAGACGAAAACTGGCCGATGTAGTAGAAGGAGGAGAGGTACAGCAGCTTTCCCTGTAGCTTCGACTCTATGTTCTGTTGCCTGCTGTGGTTCTTCCGTTTTCTGTTCCATCAACCCCTTCATCGCTTGTGGGCGTGTGTGGGTTGTGGCAGCTAAGGGTTGCACATTCGGCAACCTTGCCGGCTCGACATGTTAACCCGCAAGCTGCTTCGAAGGCCCAGTGTGCCGAACCTTCATGAAAACCAAAATCTTCTTCGTACTCGCGTCACATGAGGCGGATCGATTGATCCTGCAAATCTTCCTAGTAGGAACAACGCCACTAGCAAACTAGTAGTCCGCAGAATAATGCAAACGGTAACCCTGAGTAGCAGCACCCACCAGATTAAGTATGAGCTTGGTCTCCGGGCTCGCTCCGTGTCGAAGATCACAGGTGCCTCGTCGGTATTTGGAGACACTTAGGCCGCCTTAGACCCCAGTCCCCACACTATTGCTGGTACTGTACTCTTCTCATCTGTATTCGAGTGCTATTCTTGAAGGGACTACTGTGTTCAAACTTACCATCTAATGATTCTGATGGGTTCATGTTGAAGGTCAGTGTAAGATTCGTCTGTGTCTAATCGTGGGCCGCTGCCTCGAGCCATAACTGTCAGAGCCAAGGTCCGTGCCGACACCAGGTTCTGTACGTGATTCGGCCCGCCGCGCTCGTCCTGCGAGGACTGCTGCAAAACATTCCCACTGAAACCTAGTTTCGAAAAAAATCTACGGCACTTGCATCGTCTTCGGGTCGTGCTCTTCAATGTATGGTTTATGCTCTCACAACTCGGACAAGCCGGGCGAGGTTCTGGTCGGCCTGACACTGGCTCTCACCCCTAGGGTTCGGGGCCTGAATCATCTGTTGATGCAAAAGGTTAGCTCTCAGCATGCGTTCGTCTTCGAAACACGAGAAGCAGCTAGGCCATTCCGAGCTGATGCGGAAATTGCTCCAAACTCACGAGATTGCTGGCCACGTAAGATTAAGAGACAACCACCCTGAAACGCACTTCCTGAGATCCATCGCCCTTGTTTCAAGAAATCCTCAGGCAGAGACCAGGACCCTTTTTTTCGGCACTCGCTCTACCCTAGACCCTAAACCCGAAACGCTAAACCCTAAGCCCTACCTAACCCTTACAGCTTAAGGGCCCCCCCTAAAAAGCGCACCCCAAAAAGGCAGTCCAAAATCAGGTTCCAGTCGATCCATGCCTCCAGCCAAGCCTCCAGGTCCTTCGTTTCGGAATGCAAGGAGAACAAAAAAGGGGCAGGGTTTAACGGTTCAAGGGTTAAGGGTTTAGGGGTTAAAGGGTTTAGGGCTTTAGGGTTTACCCGTTTAAGGGTTTAAGGGTTTAGGGCTTAAGGGTTTGAGGTTTAGGACGGTAAAGCATACGATTTCACACACACACACACTCACACTGATCTGGGCGTAACTTTCGATGGCCTTTCAAACGCACCGCGTCTCGAGGCTCTACAGGTTTTAGTGCAGCCGTTAATCGGTTTTCCATATTCCAAGCAGGGTTGTAGCCACAACGCTGCTGTGTACAATACACTGCTTTGGATTCGAAGGTTCGCGAATAGGTTTAAATAGGATTTTGAGATCATGGGCAGTTTAACCTGCATGTGGTTGTCCAGCCAGACAGCCACACCAGCAGTCTGCAAAGCCTCACAAGCTCCGTTAAAGGGTCTTTGGCTTTTTGACACTCACCACTCAGCAAAGCAACGCGAGGCATGCAGCAGCTCCCGTGCATTACAAGCCCGATCCCTGGCAAGGTCCCATTTCTGCGACTTTGCCGACTTTTCTGCCCCAGCCATACCACAGCAAGAGCTTGGAAAGCCCAAGCGATGAAGCGGCTGTTGGCCGCGAGGAATAGCTTGCAGTGGATTTGGAAAAGGAACTTTCTGAACCAACAACTGCTGTTCAAAAAGCTGCTAGAGCGAAGAGCAGCAACTATACCTATCAAAAGCAAAAAAAGCCCCCAGCCATACCACAGCAAGAGCTTGGAAAGCCCAAGCGATGAAGCGGCTGTTGGCCGCGAGGATTAGCTTGCAGTGGATTTGGAAAAGGAACTTTCTGAACCAACAACTGCTGTTCAAAAAGCTGCTGCAGCCAGGTACTGAAAAGCAGCAACTATACCAATCAAAAGCCAAAAAAACAAAGTACACTGGCGCTGCTGCTTCTGTTCGGGAGAACGGCGAACAGAAGTCTGAGAAGATGTGTGTTTGTCCGAAGGGTCAGGGTCAGGCAAGAATTGGCATTTGCCCGAGAGTCCCTGTGGAAAGGCTGTCCAATCACATCTGCCGCAGCAGACAAAAGCGTGCGATCACGTCACATTATTCTTAAAGCTCCTATGGTGGACCACAACCTGTAAATCTCAAAGAAGGCACAAAGCTTAGGTTGGAAATGGGGCCTAGGGCCTAGGGGAGTCCGGCGTGAAGTGATTGGATACACGCGCCTGCACGACGCGGCTTGGAACACTTCTGTACCAGTGCACGAGAACATGTGGAAAGGCTGTCCAATCACATCTGCCACAGCAGACATATGCGAGCGATCGCGCCACATTATTCTCAAGGCCCCTACGGTGGACCATATCCTGTAAATCTCAAACAGGGCACTAACCTTAGGTTAAATGGGGCCTAGGGCCTAGGGGAGTCCGGCGTGAAGTGATTGGATACGCGCGCCTGCACGACGCGGTTTGGAACACCTTCTGTACCGGTGCACGAGAAGATGTGGAAAGGCTGTCCAATCACATCTGCCGCAGCAGACATATGCGAGCGATCGCGCCACATTATTCTCAAGGCTCCTACGGTGGACCATAACCTGTAAATCTCAAACAGGGCACTAACCTTAGGTTGGAAATGGGGCCTAGGGCCTAGGGGAGT